TGAGATTTGAGTTTTAAAATACTCCTTTTGAAATTTCTCTAGGAACACTGTATACACACACACACACACATACACACACACGCACGCACTCAGTGTTTAGGCAGTAAAATATAATGCAAAATCCAACCTGATAAGTAATAGCTGATTGGGCTGAGGGCTTCAACCTGAATAAGTAGGTCCAGGAAATCATTTGAGAGTTGCACATCGGTGAATATGTCCTCAGCAAGTACTTAAATACAGTATGTCCTATATTCTTGGGCCAAAGGGCCTAGTACTATAAAACTGCAGAACAGAAAAGAATAGAATGAGGGTGAATTTAGGAGTTGTAAGATATGGGACATTGCAAAGTTCTATCCCTGCTTTTGAACTTGGAGGATTCTGAGACCAGAGTGGCTATGGGAATTGCCCAGGTTCAGTGTACTGACTTGGAAAGACAAACTTGTAATTTCAGTGAAAACAAAGAAGTCATGGAGGAATGAAGCTAGAGCGTGTGGAAGCCACTGTGCAAAATAAAAATTAAGCTGGGGAAAAACTAAGCTACATCTTTTTCTCTGACCATATGCTAAAAGGCATTTCAGCAACAAATATTAAAGAATTAACACTAAGCAAGAAAGCCATAAGGAACCTAGAAGAAAATTTAAGTGAAAGATTTATTTTTTATATTGTAGGGCAGGAAAGGACTTCCTCAGCATAAAAGGAAAAATGAGAAAAAACATAAATTTAAAGATAAGCATTTCAAAACTAGAACAATATTAAAAGCAAACAATGGAAAATATCTGCAACAAATATGGACATAGGATAAACATCCTTAACATATGCAGACCAATAAACAATAACAAATTAATAAACAGTAACAGCAAACTTCAATACAAAATTAGGCAAAGGACACCAGGCAGGGAACTCAAGAAGAAGAAAACCAAATGGTCAATAATCAACTGAGAAAACATACAATGTATTATAATCAAAAATGCAAATTATGAGATGCCATTCTTGATCCATCATATTAAAGTTTAAATGATGATTCTCTTCAATGATGGCAAAAGTTTGCAGAGACAGATACTCCCATGCCATGTTGGTAATAGAATTACTACAATCATTTTGATAGTAAGTTGTCAATAGACATCAAAATCTTTCGAAACATAAATATCCTTTGACTTAAAATAGGTAGTGATTGTCAAAGTGTGGTCAATGAACCCACGGAGTCCCTGAGACTCTCGCAGGGCTCTACAAAGTCAAAGTTATCTTTATAGAAGTGGTAAGACATGATTTGCCTTTTCCCCAGGTGGCATGTGCAATGACAATGCAAAACCAATGGCATGTCAAGTTGCCAGCTCCTGACCCCACAAATCATGGTGGGGTCCAATTGTCCTAGGAATCACTATATTCTTCAGCACCCCATACTTGAAGGGAAACAAAGCCGGTTTCACTTAATACCTTCAGATTCGCTTATTAATACTCAACCCTTGAGTACACATCCATTTAGCGTTCCATAAAACCACATAAGAAGCAAACACAAAGCACGTCTACTGCATACAGAAGTCTGATGGCTGTCTCAAGGAAAAGCACTTGAATGACTGTTGGAGAGCTGAACTAGCTGCCTTTTCCATGAAACACCATTTTTATTGGCATGAATGATGCACAAAGTATGATTATTCCAATTTGGATATCTGGCAGACATTTTCTGAAAAATAAACAATGTGAGCTTGTCACTTCAAAGAAAACAAGTAATAATATTTGTTGCCAATAATAAAATTTGAGATTTCAAGAGAAAATTCAAATATTAGAAAACTCTGTATCCATCACCATAAGCTTGACAACTTCAAATCTTACATATTTTTTCTGATAAGATCAGGGGGGATATTAACAAATATCCCTTTTTGATGCTATATAATGAAATGTGACAACATTTGGGAGACTTGCATAGCCCACAATCAACATTTTGCAAGTGAACAATTGCATGATGATAAAAATCATGCATTGGTAAAAGATCCACTCAAAGTTCATGACAGGCCAATGGATTGTGATATAACAAAGTGGAAAGGGCCAAGATATGGTTTCACATTCCACATTGCAATTAACCTTTAAGAAAATACCACTTGTTGGGTTTTATGTAGCAACAAAAATATCCACAATTATCTGAAAAGCCTATTAAATTACTCTTGCCTCTCCAACTGCATATTTGTCTGAGGCCTGAGTTTCCTCATATTCTTTAATCAAAACAACATATCACAACAGGTTGAATGCAGAAGCAGATGTCTTCCTTCTATTAAGGCAGACATGAAAAAAAAATTGCACAAGTGTAAAACAAGGCCATTTTCTCACTTCTTTTTTGAAGTGATGCTTATTAATCAAGTATGTTAAATATGTGTAACAAAAACATGTTAACATGTAATGGGTTTATGACTGTTAATTTTGAAATAAATTAATAAGTAATTTTTAAAAATTTCTCAGTTTTAATTTACATTTGGGTAAATATCAATAGGCATAACCCATACAAACAAAAGTTCTTTGGAGTACTCAACACTTTTTTAAAGTACAAAGAGGTCTACAGATTAAAAGTTAGAAAACTGCTAATATTCCTAATTTCTGGGATTCTAAAGTAAGAAAATAAATAGACTTGGTGTTATATATGTACAAATAATAATATCAATAAAATAGAAAAGCAAAACTCCTGATATCCAACATTAAGGAAAGGATGGTGCATCCAGAATGTGATGTTGGTTATTTAAAACACATTGTGAAGAATTTTTGAAGATAAGGAATGTTCACAATATGTTAAGTGAAAAAAGCAAGACCTACAAAGTATTTTAGCAGATACAGTATTACAGTGGGGAAAAAAGATTAGAAAATACATAAAAGGTTAAGATAAATTTTGGGGGCTATATAAGTATAAATAATTTTTATTCTCTTTACTGAACATGTTCTACTTTTAAAATCAAAATTAAATTTTAGCAACTTTTAAAAACATTTCAATACTTTGATTTTTTAAGAATTGAAATTACATGAATGCCACCAAAACAATTGCTGCTGTTATTACTATTGATATTGAAACTAATGAAGGCAGCTTGGTATAGAATTCTGAACTAAAATTATGAAACCTGTATCAAGACACTGTTTGGCCATTAAACATCTCTGGGGTTTTTGAAAAGTCACTTAACCTCCCTGAACCACCAGAAATTATCCCTGAGGTCCATACCTGATGAACTCTCTGATAAAATGACCTATCAAATCTAAAGTTTGTTCAAATACTTTCCAAGGACCATCTAAAGTAAAGCAGTGCTATAGTGAAAACTGTGAAGCCAACTCCAAAATCACACATTTTAAAGAATCCCCACCCATCCTGCTAAATGGCTAATTCCTCCTTTTGCACATTAATGAATCCTCTGTAAATAATTTCCAGTGGAAGAAGAGTTTGTCATTTCTTAAGTGGTATTTGGAAGAAGTGAAAAGTTTTGGGGCATATCATGAATAAGAAGAAAAAGTGGGGCATAAGAGAATAAGCAAGACAGCATCTTGCCCCGAACGAAGTGAGTACTTCATAAGTATACTTGTTAAGTCCGTAAGAGTGTAGGGAGGTTCTTATCTCTTCTGAAAAGGACAAGGTATTTGCCATGGAAAAAGAAAAAGCATGAGAAAGAGAGAAATAGAAGAGGAAGAGGTAAAGAAAGAAAAGCAAAAATACAAATGTAATATAAGTACACGAGAAAAGAATATCTACATGTATGTTCTATTTTAAAACTGTCCAGAAAAATCTACCTATTCACTTAGCTGACAAGCCTTCACTTTATTTCACTGCTCATCGGCAGAGTTGGCAAGAGTTAAAGACAGGTAATCACATTCCAATTTGTCAATTTTGTTCCTGGTTAGCAAGTCTGATAAAAATATTAAACTATAAAGGCATAAATAGTACCTTAAATTAAATATGAATTAGAAAGAGATCCCTTTATTTCACAGATAAGGAAAACCAAGTCCTTCGAAAACCTGACATCATAAAATATCAACTTATGCTTCAATTTGTAATTTATTAATACTAATTATCCAATAGTATCTCTTTCCTCAAGAAAATACTTCAGTGGTGATGTCTGTGAAGAATTACACATCAAGGACAGAGAAGTTCTCCATTAGGGGCTAAGGGTGCTCAGTGCCCCCCCCCCAACACACACACACACACAAATGGTACAGGTTCAAATTTGGTTTTGAAATCTAAGAAAAGTAAACATTTTAGTCTTTTAACAGGTCACAGATATAACAACCTTTTTTATCCGGGACTGGTTCTTAGTGTAACGTCTGGGCCTCTGTTTGCACATCTTTAAAACGAGAAAATGTATAGTATGCGGTTCCTAAAGTCCTTCCTTAGAAAGTTGGATAATCCTAAAATCACAAGAAAAAAAATGTGTTTTGGGGAGGAGGGAACTATGAAATATACCTGGGACGTGTGTGTGTATAAACAATTATATATATAATTGTTTAAAAGGCCAACCTTGAGCCAAAGATTCCTAGAGTGGAATGTCTAGGATACCTCTCTGACTGGCAATGAAAACACTTGAGATCACTTAATTATATCAGAGAGCCATAGTTAAACAGGAGGCCCCTTTAGGTCTGTGCTCCCTAGTTTCTTTCCAGGAACCGACTGAAAATGGTCCTTCATTTTATCCTTTTGAATCTACAATTGGTATTTCTATTTTGAGAGGGCCCTCCCACCTGTCATTCATCCCTAGTATCTGTCAATTAACCACTAGACATTTATGGAGCACCTACTACGTACACTCATCTCTAGCACATACCAATTTTCAACAAACAACATGTTACCTTGAATTTAATTGATTCATCCATTAAAAGTCGCCCAAGGAAGGCGGGATAGTGAAAGACGAAACCTCTTTCACCATCCTTGATCTCCTAACACTTGACATGTGGGACACGTGGTTCCTAAGTGCTGGCTTGGCTGCCAGGCACAGCTGACTCAGGCAAAGGGCTGTGAGAGAGGAGAGATGGGCACTTACCTGGGGAACCTCTGCTTCAGCTTCCTCAGGCTCTGCCTGGTGGGAGGCACAGACACTAGGCACTGGGCTATCTCGTCGTACTGGGCTTTAGTCAGTATCATGTTGGGCCAAGAGTCTGGGAGGTGGCAGGGACAAGTAAAAAACACACTGGGCTCGAACAGCCTTGGTGCCAGGAAACGAGGGGTGGGCACACAGGACCACAGCGCTAGGTCCTCGACTTCCTTGGCCTGCCCGTAGCCCCTTCACCATTAGCTGTACAGCCTGGGTTTCACCCAGCTGCTCCGCTGCGGCGGGGGGCGGGCTGTAGACCTTGGCTTTCTGAGCAGCCGCAGTGGGCCCAGCCGAAGGCAAGCGGCCGCCATATCAGTTAAGGGCAAACCAATCAGGAAGTAGCGGTCCGGGCAGAGGTGGAGCCTAAGTCTCCGGCCGACAGGTATCCCGGCTGCAACTACCTATCTGGGTTCAACTTGGGAAGTTCCAGGCGTATGTTTATACTTTCTCAGTTGCCGACAGCCCAGGAGTCCTGGCTCACTGGCCGGGCAGCTCGGGCACACGGGTGTCCCGCGATCCTTAATCTTGAGCCGCGGAAAGACAGGGCCCCCCCGATTTGAATACGCTTACAAACGCGCGGGTTTTAAAGCAGCTCCAATTGGAGAGTGACCTACAAAGAGAGTGTGCGGTCCCCAACCTCTCTCCGCACTCTGAGAGCAAAACTCCCAGGATCTCCGTAGACACGACAGACACAAACCAGACACGACAGACACACGCAGCTTGTGCGGCGCTTTGTTCACGTTGGGAAACCAACCAGAAAACAAATCCGACACATCAAACAGCCTGCAGTGAAGAATAGTACTCTCACGCCTGTCCCCCAGTTAGGTGCTCAAGGACTGAAATAATTTCTTAATTGTCTCTGATTCCGCAGCTCTCAGAAAACAGGAGGCACTCGATAAATGTTTGGAGAAATGAGTCAATGAATGAATCTGTTTTCCACGGTGCTATGAGCCTAGGCAATTTCCTAGGACATCAGCTCCTTCTTCAATCCCTTTTTAAATATCATGTTGGTTCTTAGAAGGCCATGTGTTTCTGTTCAAATCTTAACATTTTAAACAAATAAAAGACAAAGTGTTTATTAGAGAACGTGTTTTTTTGTTTGTTTTTTAATAATCTGGAATAAGGTCTGGATTGGAAGTTTAGCTTAGATATGCATCCTTAGGTAAATTCCCTAATCTATCTAAGCCTCAGTTCCTTTGTAAAATTGATTTTTAATTCATGACGCATTGTTAAGCTTCTCTAGGAAAGTAAAGAATTCTTTAGCATGTTGTCCAGCAGATAGTCTACGTGAGATAAATAGCCTCTGTAAGGCTACTTGGTAATGATAGGTCCCGTGGACAGGGCATTACCAGCTATTGTCTAACAGGCTTCCTATGCTTCGACTCACATAATCTTCATAACTTCCTGTGAGGCAGGTACAATTGCCATGATCACCTTCCTCCTCCTTTCATACAGGATGAATAAATTCAGGCATGAAAAGGTTAAGTAACTTCCCAAGGGTCATGAGAACAAGTAAGCAGCATGCGTAAAGTTTAAGCTGCTGAAATTTGCTTCCAGAGTCTGTGCTTTTACCAACTCTCAATAATGCTTAATTACTACACCAAATAGTCACACTCTCTTAGGCCAAAGGTTAAGGAGTTTTTGAACGGGAATAATATACATTTCAAAGAATCTTTTAGTTCAGGTTTTAAATAGCTCCACCACTTTATTTTCCCAGGCGTCTCAGAGTCCGGTAACAAGAGTGGATCCTGAATTCAAAAACCATATTTTTTTTCCTGAATATTTACATCAGAATGTTTTCTTGCCATATGCTTTGCATCTAGTTCTGGTTGTGTGACATTAGTACATAACTATTTATTTATGGCAGCGTGGCCTGGAGTTGCCACCTGGCTAGTTTGTTGCTGACCCTGCCATGACTTTTACATGAAAGCTAGCTGACGATAAGCAGACACCACTTGATCCCCCATTCCGTTCTCCCTCCCACTTCACTCTTTCCAATTCACAGCCAACAGATTTTTATAGAAAACATCAGTTCAAGGATGTTTGCACTAGTTATTTTTTATAGTAACTCTTCTCTCTGGCTCTTGCCCTGCATTCACCCTTACAACCCTTAAGGAAAAGGCCAGGTTTGTTTTTCTGATTTTATTTTTAACATGCTGGCAGTTTACAGTTTTGACCCAAATCCAGTAGATTGTTTCAAGTTAGTGCCAGGGGAAAAGCACAGTTATGTTGCTGTTTTTGTTGGCAGTGACAGGAGTGTTGTTTATTAAGCACAAAATAGAAGCAAAGCAGAAATGTGTTATTCTTATTGTTGTTTAGGTGTTTTGAAAATTTCTTTTCTTTTGAAATGCTTGGAATAAGCCAATTTTTCCTTTGAGGCACCCTTCCTTCCTTTCCCTCCCCCCATTCTGCCCCATCTTTTGCATCACACTTCATGCCCCTCATCTGTCCTTACTCCTTGGAGAGCTACCTTTCCATGCCTGATGTGCCCCCACTGTTTCTCAGTCAGCCAGTCAGTAATACCAATCATCTGCCCATTAAATGATGTAGGGTCATGAGATGAAAACAATACCAAACTAAAAACCCAAAAAACTGTCTATGTGTTTAAAATAAGCCATAAATGGTGTGCCCTTGAATAAATGAAAGCCTTTCTAACCATGAATGTACCCAGTGTAACCCCAAGACATGGGATTTTATAGTTCTGACACGGAGAAAGTATCTACAAACATGAAAAAAAGCTAAGGAAATGACAGCAACAAAATGTGTCAAAGTGGGGACTAGTGAAGTTTTCTTGAAGAACCTATAGCCCTGAAAGATGGGCTGGTGGAATGAATCACTTGACCAGATTTCTCTCTGCCAATTCCTGGACAACATGAATGATGAACAATTTTAAAGGAGTGTGGGGTTTGGCAGGAAGGCATCAGAAGGTCATCTCAAGAAGAGTGCTAAATACAAAGGACTAAAAATAAGAGTGAGCCAAGTCACATGCACGGGAAAGTTATTCTGGCTGGAGCAAAGAGTTCTAGGCAGAGTGAAAAGGAGTTGAATATGCTTGACCTTGGAAAAAGTCAGTCACGTTTTTAAACAGTCTGCTGTTCACTGAGTCTGCCAAATCCATTGTGTGTTTTTAAAAATAAATGCTGAGATTATTTTTATTGTATTTTAAAGTCTGATTCTATTCATGCAATCTTGTTAAGATCAACTAATTGATTATTTTAAAGAAAAATAATTGAAGTTTACTAACTGAATAAAGAAAAAGATAATTAATATTATTTAAACACTTATTATACTCAAACATTATCCCATTAGCCCCTAATTTATAAATTAGGAAACTGAGACTCAAAGAGAGTAAAGGATTTGCCTGACAGATCCAGTTAAGCTGCAAAACCATGATTTGGATGTAAGTCAGTCTGACAATAAAGCCTCATGTTCTCCATTGCAGTGTCCTATAATTAAAAAAAGAAAAAAACCTCTTTAGTTGAATTATCCTCAGTTAAGCATTTATGCTCTGAAATAGCTGGCTACTTTCTTTGGTCACCACTGATGCCTGTTGAAGAGGCATTCAACTTTCAATTCTGACATTTAGCCAAACACACTTTTGAAAACATTGTTTGGCCTCTTTGACTAGAATAGGTTGCGTATTTTTATTCTATTTACTCTGTGAGGCACCACCCAAACTGATGCATCTTTTGAAACTGAAGTTTACATCTCCATGCTTGCCACCTATGAATGACAAGTCACTTTGTCCTGGTCCTAAAATAATACAAGCTCTTAGTGAGCAATAAAGAGCAGGATAGTTCACTTGTTGAGGCTTGCAGCAATCCCTCAAATCAATGACTTAAGGAAGCATATAGAAGGACATCCCACACTACGATGGTGGAGCAATTACACTGCATAGTTAGGGAAGACCAAAAGCCAAATGTGGTTGCTTCATGCAAGTTGATGGTGAATGAGCTCCTAGACTTGATGGCTTGATGCCAGAGGGAGGTTACTTGTTGATAGAGTATTTACTGAAGGCCTGTTACAAAGAGAAACTGTATCCCACATGCACGTAATTACGTGACTCAGAATGGAATCTCCTCTTTGTTAGTCAGTAATACTAAGAAACAATGTTGTGGGTAGGTAAGCACATTGCTTAGCATTTTAAGTACATCTATCTTCCCTTAATTCTCAGGACCAGTGTCAAGAGGTAAGTGCTGTTATTTATTAAATTCTTGTTTAAGGCAAGAAACCTAAGGCTTAGAGAGGTGGTTTCTGCTTATCAAATATTTTACAATATTCTAGTGTTTCTCAAATTATCAGTGTTGACCAAGTTTTTCAACAATTTTTTGTGGACAAATATTTCTGTAAAATAAGATTAAAAATGAGTTATTCAGAAATGAAATTTAAAAAGACAAAGACATAAAAGGCAAGCCCCCAATTCATTATTATGTGATTCAACAGACATAGAATTACTCTGTCAAATTGATATAAAAGGTTCTAAATGGTTACGTTCCATTTCTGTGCTTATCACATGAAGACAAGGAAGAAAATTTGAGAATCAGCACTGGTTTGCCTATCACATTCCAAGCAGCACTGTCCTAATACCTTAGAAAGCCAATGTTGTAAGCCAGGTGTATGCAAACTCTAGGATATCACATTTCCATGTCTCTGAGTTAGAAGTGAGGTATAACCTGTTCCTTTTAGACTTCTAAGTATCAACCATTATTATTATTACTACCTTTATTCCACTGTATTTAGTTTTCAGGTGATGCATATTTATTAAGATCAGCTGTACAAATCATTACAGGCTATTTCATTATGCACCCTATAAAGTTAACGCCATGTGTTTTTATAACACAAACCCAATTTCTTCTTTAGATAATAAACCCATCATTCAGAGGTCATATACCACCTCTGTTCTGAATTACAGAGAGAACACTATTGGCACATGATAAAGGCTATTAATTGGCATTTACACATTTACTATTATAACATTTGACAAAGATAAGAAACAAAAGTAGTGTTTTTACAGGGACATTTCCTCTTGGGTGTTTTTTGTGTTCTAGCAGAGGGAGACACGTGAACATGTTTGTTGAAGAAAGACTGAAGCCTCTTAAATTTTCTCCTCAGGCTCATCAGGGACTTGTGGATAATTTGCAGGCAATTTGTATCCCCTTTTCCTGCAGGACTAAACCTCAGATGTAATTTCTGCAGTTGTCAATCACTCTTCTTGTCCCACAGACCATTCTGCAAGAATACATCATGTTCTGAGGGC